ACTCTGTCCCAGCCAAAACCAGGACAATCATTTATGTTCGTTTTCAGAGAGCAAGGCAATTTTATCTTCATATTTTTCACCTTTCCAATTAATGCCCCGATAATTACACATTATTTCTTCATCTGAGGGCAGACCAGACAAACTATATTACTCTATTTAGCCAGTCACCATCCAAATTCAAAGTTCTAATGCTTCTAAGTGAGGCACCCGAGGTGATCATTCGCTCGGTGTAACAGCGTACATCCGTAAGACTGCTTCTATTCCACCTTTCCTGTTTAAAGCAGGCTTTAGGCTGAGTCTCATCAATATAGCTGATGCCAGCACAAGCCCACACTACTGCAGCAGCACACTAAAATAGGGCAGCAAAGTGCAGCACAGGGCTGGAATTGTAGAACAGTTCTCCCACTGGTGCGACCCCTCCCAGAACTGAGGCCTAAGCAATTTCAGATCTAATCAGCCCCCTACGATCTCGAGTGACGCATGTACGGATAAGCTAAAAGGATTTTCACTACTTTCTCCAAGTTAATTTGAAGCAGTTTTAGAGCACATTCCTCCCTCTAACTCCATCTCCTTATGAATTATTCTGACAGCCAGACATGAGCTTCCACAACTGAGTGGTCTGTCTGGATAACCTTTCAGATTAAAGCAGGCTGTGAACTGGAAGAGAATCTGCTTTTCTCACAGTATTGTAAAATCTGTGTTGGCTGGGAACACTAGAATGAGACTTAAACACAGTTACAGCTGAGTCACCTGCGAATCTCCACTTGCAGTTGGTGCTCAATGCACAGAGAGTTCAGGAGTCATCATTTGGGAAAAAAAAATTATAATACAGGCCACAGACATTTACAACAATCACCAGTCTTGTAGAACAGGACAAGGTAAGTTTCATGTGTATGAAATCATCTTTTATTTATGGAAAGGGACTGTCAGTTCAATAGTCTGACTCGTGTGTTAAGGTTAAGTCACAGCTGAAGACACAGCAGTGAGCATTCCTTCCCTGGACCGCAGGTCATCCTCATTCCCTCCCCGGACTGCAGGTCATCTTACACTAGAATGTCAATTTACAAAGCACCCCCCTCATTTTGTCTCATCTCTTCACTCTTTTTTTTCAGCTGAGTCTCTACCTTTCATGTGCCCATCTCTCCCAATTTGGTTAAGAAAACCTGAGGTTACATAGTTTTTTGAACTTCTGATCCCTATACCGCAATTCAGTACTTTTTTCCCTGTTTTGAACTCCTCTAAATTAATACTGAATTCTATTCTATCCAAACCAAGTGAAATTAACAAAATAGGATCTGGAAACAGGACTAAAGGCCAGTTCCCCACCTGGTACTTGCCTCCTTCTAGCACTTCACTGACATTTTGGTGGTAAGTTTATTAAAAGAAAAAAATGAGGAAAACAATACATTTATCCAAGATTATATCTTTTAAACTGAAAAAAAGGAATAAACACAAATTTCAGATCAGCATCTTTAAATATTCAACTATACAAAATATTCCTTGTGATAAACTAGCACTGTCACTCACAATTATGGAAAAGTCATCTGAATTGCATTCTTATTTGGATGATAACCAAATTTTTCTGCACCACATACTTGCTGTTAGATATTTCCCCAAGTGTATCAGACAAGAAATGTTGCAAGCTATCCAATTTGTGAGCTAGAACAACTACTAACAGTGCTTTCAAAGGTTAATTTGCTAATAGAAATGGACAAATCAACGATGTCCAATATCCATTATTACTCATTTCTGATAAAATGTCTACAGCAGTAAGAGAAAAACCAGAAATCTTTCTGAAGTGTTTTTTCATACACATAGGCAAACAAACAGAATGCATGATCTATATACTTACGGTACTATGAAATACAACACTGTGGCCTTTTCCTAAACTTTCTATATGTGCTGAGAGGTTAAAGCAGATGGCTCGATGTCTTATAGCATCCAGTGTTTGCGCATCAAAGAAGTCATGAGGTCTTGCTAGAAAAAAAAAAAGAAATCCTTAAGTGTTCAACACATTGAAAGCATGTAAATAAGTCTGAAATGTCATTAGTAAATAATTTATCATTATGGCAGCAGCACCACCTTGTCAGAGAGTTGTAAACATTAATTCAACTGAGAGGAAGAAACGACTCCAAGAGGGGTACAATTCATTTAAGTCTGGTCAAAACATACTCCTTGTAGCTGAAACAGCTATTTTGACAAACTGAATTACACTGGGTCTTTTTTTTTTTTAAGTTTCAAATTAATTCTATTCTTTCTTCATCTTTGAAATTAAGAATCCATTAACTTTGCTGAGTACCTTTGGGAACATCCATTGCTATCATCTCTTAAATAAAAAAAAAAAGAATTCTCAGTACAAAGAAACTAAACTCAGAACTCGTTAATAAACGTGAGTTCTAATTCAATGCAAAATCAGCCCATTTAGGTTGTGATGTTTATGGGAAGCTAATTGGCCAAGTTGCCCTTACAGCACAGTCAATAGTTCCAATATTACTGCTCTGACTTTTTAAAAACTAGTATTTAAGTACTTCAAAACATGATAGTGCGTACATTTAACATCTTAAAAGCAGAATTATGCCTATACCTTATTTCTTAACTTTATTAAAAACAGTCTACTCTGATCTAATTCATAATTACTAAAAAACCCAGCTATTTCCAGTGAACACTGGGATGCTGCAGAGAAAATAATGGCACTGAAAACATGACTGCTTGGCACTGCAGGGGAACACAGCAAATGATTCAGTAAGAATTATTGTGAACAGACAGAAAATACTAGCTTGTCAAGAAATTTTTGATCTCCAAGGAGTAATAATGCTGAACAGTCCCATGAAAAACTCCACACTGCTAGACGTGGTTCTTTCTACGTACAAGTTGTCATTCCACATTCTTAGTAAACAGATTATTTTCTAGCCAAAAAGCACCAACAGCATCCCATACTACACAGCATCCCATACTACACCTCAATTTATAATGAAAAAAGTGCAATTAACATCCATCAGATATTTCATGACTAGTCTAAAACCAGCAGGCTCTAATAAAGCCTTTTCCCATTTAGGAAAGGACTTTCACAGTTACGTGTTTCTTGAACAACAAAAAGTTATTGATTCTGATTCAGAGTGTAAAGAAGGTCTATCAATTCTACATTAAAAGTACTTTAACTAAAAAAATAACTGCTCCTAGGCACGTATTTGCATACTGTTAAAAATACTTCATGCAATTTTTTTAAAATATGCTGTATAGTACAGTAGTGAAATTACATGAACAAATAAAGTATGGATGAAAGTATTCAGACTTTTTTAAGCTTTGAGAGCAGTAATTCTCTATATAACACACTGAAATGAAAACTAAAAAGTTGATATTATGTTATCATCCTGTAATCTGCAAAAACAGTGATTCCAAGGTCCATTGTCTTCATTTAGAACAACTTCTATATTCCTTTTCACCAAGATTATCCATTCATTATTTCAAAACAAACTACAAATTCCACTTAAAGCTAGTATTTGCTACGCTCCTGGGACTAATTGTTGTTAAGCATTCATGTGCACATTATGTTCTGTCCTTACCCTGCCTGTTGGATACTGCCAACGAGGCAACCATCTCACTGAAACGTTTTCTCACTGTAAGTGGCAATGTGGAACCACGGCTCATGCTGCAGGTGGTCAGTGATGCAAGCATATAAATATTTCATAAATTAATGTGAGGGAGGAAGAAAGGGAGAGTGAAAAGGAAATGACAACCCCAAATTTTTGCTTTTGGTTTCATATAGTGAATCTCTTCAGGATTTACCACTGAATAACACTCCAACACATGCAGAAGAAAGGGCAAAATTTGCCAAAGGCACATGAATAGTTTTATTTACTCTTTATTGAGTGTTAATGCTGTGCTGTATCTTCTATGCATTTAAATCTATTCCCTCAAAATTATTTTCAGATTAAGGTGTCTTCCATCCTGCTGTATACAAGTTTCAAGTACACATCAATTACTTACGTGGAGTAAATAAAAAACTTCCTATCAGTAGCCTACGAAATGAAATTCCAAGTCTTACATAACTAACATTGTCCTACCGTGAATTCCATGAACACTAAGTTCCTTATCTCACTTACATGTCTCCAGTAAACTAAATTATCATGCTTGTTAATAACTACAGCGTCATCTTTGCTACTAGAAAAGCAAGCGACAATGTTGTGAACATTATCTTAGGTTCTGCAAAATTCTTCGAAGCTTTGGAACAGCAACACCATGACCTATTTTAGGGACACACTCTT